GGAGGAGAGGAGTGAGCCCAGCCTGATCTGCCCCCCGCCACGCAGCCGGAGTTACCTCCCTCCTGAGGACCTGCAGAGCTGCCTCGAGTCCCACGTCAGGGAGGTCTTCGGGCCCTCTCTTCCTGAGGACTGGCAGCAGACTCCCCTGCAGGAGAACAGGCTGAAACATCGCCTGCTGGTCCGGCTGGCGGCAGAGCTGGGACACGCTGTCCCCAACTCCCAGCTGCACCGGATGCGCCGCGCCGGGGACGTGCTGGCTTTCTATCGGACCCCCGTGAAAGACGAGACCAAGATCGATGAACTTGCAGCTGCAGAACTGCCCCCGAACCTGAAAATCATCTGGCAGAAGTGAGTCCCCCCACGGAGCATCCCCATGGTGACTGGCTTGTGCTGCAGGGCAGCAGCACAGTCCTCTCGTTGGTGTGAAATCTGTGAATTTCAGTAATAAAGGTTCACTGAGCTGTGCTCAGGTTTGTCTGTTCCTGTTCTTTTTTTTCCCTGCAGACCAGTTCTTGTGAGGCACTGCCAGCTGCCTCCTGTGCTTTCCCTGCTGCTGGGCACTGACAGGACCCAGTGGGGATCAACAAGGGGGCCATCTCCACAGTTTCTACTCTGCACCTCTGTGCTGGTTCTGTCTGGGGTAGAGTTAATTTTGTTCCCAGGGGATGTTATGGGGCTGTGTTTTTGACCTGTGCAGAACTCAGGGTTGATAATACAGAGATGTTTTTGCTATTGCTAAGCAGGGCTTGCACAGAGCCAAGACCTTTCCTGCTTTTCTTACTGCCACACTGGTGAGGGCACTGGGGGTACATGGGAGGGGACACAGCAGGACAGGTAACCCAAAATGACCCAGGGGATATTCCAGACCATATGGCATCAGGCTCAGTGTATAAAATGGGGGAAGAAGGAGGAAGCAGGGGACATTTGGAGTGATGGCATTTGTCCTTCCAAGTCATTGTGATGTGCGATGGGACTCTGCTGTGCTGGAAGTGCTGAGCACCAGCCGAGCCGTGGGAAGCAGGGTATTTTACCCTTCTGATTCTCAGGACCATGGTGGTGTGCTCCCCACTGCTCACACTGTGGCTCACACAGATCTCTTGCTTTCCTTCTGTTTTGCTGTTGTGAAAGCCAACACCTCTGTGGCCACTCCTGGAATGTGCTTGCAAGCATTGGAGCAATGCCAAGCTCTGGAATGCTTTTTCCAGGACTGATAAATAGCACTGTAGGTGTCTGCCTTGCTGGATTTCTTCATACTGCTTCTGGTTGGCCCACATCTGGCTGTCAAATCTACTGAAGGAGATGCCAACAGGACTGGTGTGAGGATTAGTCTGGGTTACCTCTGCTAGCCTTCAGGATGCTGAAATCCTTCCATTTCCTTTACTTACAAGGAAAAAAAATCCAATATGAAAATTTGTTCAATTAACCTGTTTCATATCTTCCCATATGTCAACAAGAGCTCTCATGAAATGAAACACTCAAATAGTCAAAATTTATGCTTTCTTTCCAGAGTATGAAGCTTGGTGGGTTTTATAACACAATTCGGTTGAGTTTTACTTCTGCTTTTACTTATATTTACTTTCACTTGAAAACATCAGAACACTACGTAATTGCAGTATATTGTGGCCTAAGTAATCCATGATTTTATGGAACATACAGTCACCACCAGACTTTATAGCTTTACATCCCTGAGTTGTGGATCAGATGGGATACAGTTTCCTTAAGCATACAGACAGTTTCTATTTAAAGGAAAAAGTAACCTCTGAATTTTTTTCTCTGGAGATCAGCTGTCTGCTTTTACTACTTAACATTCACACAATATTGGTCTGTTCCAAGCCAAGTCAGAAATCTTCAATCAAAGTGCTGCCTTCGGTATGAAGTGGTAGAGTTTTGATTTAACTTTTTTTCCTTTTGTTTTTTGCTTTGTTTTTTAGTTTGATTTCTTTTCATGAATTCACACAGAAATTCCTGTACATGAAAGAGCAGTTTATATTGTAATCTTTCCAAAAGTACAGTCACACAGAGCAAAATAAGAGTTCATGAAATTTTAAAGGAGAAAGAGGTAGGTATTTTGCATAGCATTTTCTATTACTAGAATGTTGTCAATAAGTCTGACTGTATTGATTGGAGATTTCACACCCTTAGGAAAAGAGATCGCTGCAGAATAATTTGTATCTACACAACGATGTATTCTTTGGGACTCTTTCTACTTCTGTTGGCAAATGGGATAGTGAAATACCAGGAATACCGAATTTACTGTTTCTTCAGGCGGTCAGATTATAAAGGAAAATATAGACAAAGGTCATAAATTCATAATGGAAATCTTGACAAGGATACCAAGCCTCATGTCTTCATTTCCCTGTTTCCTGAAGCTGGAAGTTTCTCTTATTTCTTCCCCTGCTGACCAGGTGGCAAAATCTGTTCCAGAACCAGTAACAGGATTTTTTCAGTTCACAGGTCTAGAATAGGAGCAAGGCAGGAAAGCCAAAGGTTCTTAAAAAAAACAACCCCAAAACAGTAAAGAGTAGAAAAAAATGGCCTTTTTTTGCTACTAGATGTGCCTGGAAAAGCTGAATGCTTGTTTGTGTGTCAGCTCGATGAGGAATTGAGCCAAAATGAAAGTACTTTGGAGGATGCAGATCAGCCTCTTTCCTTGTGTGTCCATGAACTGGACTCATCTGAGAGTACTGACCATGGTATTAGCAGGTAGATAAAAACAAAGATGAAATAGACTTTGCCTGTAATCTGTAACAATTATAAAGTCTCTAAGATATACAAACCACAATAAAGGATGGAAATTTAATGAGCACATACAGTCTACAAGGGATGCAAGACTCATGGATCACAGATAATATGGGTCTTTGTTCACAATATGTGCACCTGATGTGGCTGTCTTCCGCTCTTTGGATTGTTTTTGCTTGGTTTTTTTTTTTTTTCCTTTTTCAAGATAGCTGAACATAGATGGCTGGCTGAGAGAAATTGAAATTGTCTTGCCTTCTTATTTTAATACCTACAATAGACGGGGGGGGGAAAGAAGAAAAAAAATGGGAGAGAAAAAAATACGCCAGATGAGGCTCTAGTAAGTTAATGTCAAGGAAACTGCAACAAGTATTGACATATTGGCATTCAGAAATTGTTTTTACAGGGGTCTAAGTGGTGGAACGTTTTTCACTTTCCCCGAGTGGAATATTCGCTATGAAATGTCAGTGAAGACCAAAGAGTTTTTCTCTACCGCAGCTTGCCAAAACGTCTGTACTTGTGTTTAAACGGATTGGCAAAGGCGGCTTATCCTTCCGAGATCAGCCAGCCCGACCCCGGCGTTCCCTCAGACTCCGCATGGTCCCGCAGCGCCCCGCGAGGAGCGGGAAGGACTCCTGAGGGGAACAGGTCCTGGCAGCTGCACGGGCACCCCAAACAACTCCCCCGCGGCGTGGAGGGATGGAAGGGGGTCCCGCCGAGCTCGGAGCAGAGCCTGGCTGCAGCTCTGTTCCGGTTCGGTTCTGGTTGCCGGCTCGGTGGCGGGCGGAGCGCAGCGGGACCTGGCGGAGCGCGGAAGGGCACGCAGCTGCCAGGACCTACCCAGGGCGCTGCTGCGCATGTGCGGCCTGCGCTCCCTCTCCTCACCCTCCATATCTTCCTCCTCATCCTCTTTATATTTTCCCTCTTTTTTTTTCCTCGTTCCTGCTCCTCTGCCACCTCGGCCATGGGGAAGCTGAACGTGGTGATGCTGCGGTACCTGTCCCGGGAGCACTTCAGGGTGCTGACCGCGGTGAGCGGGCACGGGCAGCGGGGCCGGGCCGGGCCAGGCCAGCGGGAGGGACCCGCCAGTTGTGCCGCTGCCTCCCCTGGGGCTCCGTGCTGGCCTGTTCTGGGAAGGGCCCGGATCGGGGCGGTGTTTCCTTCGGCCGCCCGGCTGGGGGGAATCGGCAGGGGCAGAGAATTCCTGGGGATGCTCGGGAATCCTCTGGGCATGCCAGGGAGAGTCCCTGGGGACGCCTGGTTGGTCGCAGGCCCATCACGGTGAGGTAGCAGAATCCCCAGCGTCTCTGCTCTCTCTGCTCGCTGGGAATGCGATTGAAATCTAATTAGCCACTCATGTCGTGGCTGGCACTGAAGAACTTCTCGGGGTGGGTTGTACATAAGCTGCCAAGGAGCAGTGAAGCAAAGGGAAAGTCTTGCTAAGTCATAAAACGTAAAAAGTTAAGTCTTAAAATCTGTAGTCCTTAAAAATTGCCGGTTTGAAAAGGGATTTTGCTCTTGAACAGGATCTGATATTTCAGTGTTGAACACAGGGCTGACAAATCTGTTTTTGATTCCTCTTTTAGGTAGAAATGGGCATGAAGAACCATGAAATAGTTCCTGCTAGCTTAATTGCTTCCATTGCCAGCCTTAAACATGGTGGCTGTAATAAAATTTTGAGAGAGTTGGCGAAGCACAAACTTGTGGCTTACGAACGGACGAAAAGTGAGTTTGAATTTTGTCTTGGACTGCCTTTCTTATCCTGTCCTCAGTGCCTCACAGTGGTACTGCCCAACGGGTTGGGATGTAGAAGTGTCCAGAGTTTGCTTTGCCTCCTCTTGGACTCAGCCTGGAAATGTAGGTTTGTGCAGCACCAGATACTGGGTTTGCTTGCACCTTTAGAAGTGATTGGCAGCAAAAAGATGAACAGTTAACTTTTTTGTTTTGTTCCGAATGTGGTAAAAAGAATTATCACTTGAAGCAGTGTTCAACGCCATGTAGGAATCAACCCAAATGAGTGATATCCTTGCAGTTCTGGAACAGACTGCACAATCCTTCGACATTTCACTGTCTCAGGAGCGGCTGCTAAGCAGTATTTATTAATCTGCCATATGACAGAGTTGTGCAGGCCTTTTCCCATTCCCTTTAGTCTTTTATTTGGATCTGGCCCTGCAAACACAGTGGGGACATCTGTGGGAAATACTGCTCCCTTTTGTCCCAGTTCTTCAGAGGATTGAGAGTTGCTCCAGTCCATTTTAAACATCTTCACCGGTTAATCAAATTGGGCTGGTAAGAGGGATGAAATATTACTTGGGTGTTATGTACTTTAAGAAACAAGACTAAATTGCGATTTATATTAAATGTGATTTATGCATAATAAGGAGTGAAATGTATTTTATTTTTGCCCAGCTGTCCAGGGTTATCGGTTAACTAATGCAGGATATGATTACCTGGCTCTAAAAACTCTCTCTTCCCGACAAGTCATCAGTTCTGTGGGAAACCAGATGGGTGTTGGCAAAGAATCAGGTAAACTAAAATAACATTTAAAATAAGTTTGTAAAGCAGACACATCTGTAATATTGCAAATATTTGGCTAGAAACTTGGGTAGTTTTCTTCTGGATAGGCAGATCAGTTACTGTTGAACACTAAGATGTATTTGAAGATAGCATGTTCAAGTGCTCTGTGAGGCTTCTGGCTACATTTGGGTATTTTTTCACAACAA